AAAACAACTTCAGGACAGCTGCAGAAAGTAAAAAAAAAAACTTGTAACAAGCCAAAATATCGGAGTTTCCCATCAGATTGTTTTCTGATCTTCCTTCGCTTCTGTACCGAAATATTCGTGGATATAGATGAAGTATGCGTGGAAGAACAAGAAAATCAATAAAAACGACCCCAACCAAACAGAAAAGTACGTGAGATCTAGATTCCGACACCCAGGTCTGCATCAGGATGACAAAGTAACCGAAAAGAGGCCTTCACTTCAACCTCATTAGGCATCTTTGAGATGACTTGAAGCATGAGTCAAAGGGAAGAAGACCACCAACACGAGTGAGCAGTCCCATGCATTTCAAAGGATTTGATGTTGAATATCTGTGCATATCTCTGATGCTCCCGTGGAATGGATTCCGCGGATGATGAAGGCTCTAATCAAGTCTGGTAGTAAGCAAACCAAATTACGAGCGCTGAATAGCTTTTTATTCTCGCTCAATTCTCGCTATCTGCTTACCTTTCCACTGTTTTGCTGTTAAATGAGAGCTTCAGAGTTGTGTGAGACGCGATTTTAAGGCTTGTTCCAAGTTTTTCTCTCCGCAGCTGTACATCGCTTAAAAAGAGATCCGAGACTACGTGCTCAACCATTTCATAGGGTTCCTTCCGGCCCAAGCAGTCCGTTGCGTGACCGCGAATCGCAGAGACTGCCCTTTTCGCGGCTCCACAATAAGTAAAGTGGGGGCTGCGGCAATATCATAAGTTGCAGTAATACACTGTATACAGTACGGGTTATATACCGTAGTGTTTTTGGCTGAATTTGTTTTTTGACGAGTTTTTCTACCAGATGAACTTGATTCCTCTTTGCAGTTGGGGGACGTGCAAAGCTTGGTTTGCCCGGGCGGGAACCGTAGGGGACGGTAGCCTACTTGTATGTTTCTGTGGTCACATATTGTAATTTCAGGTGGATATGATGGTGAAATCTGAGATACCAAAGGTGATTAGTGATGATAAAATACGAGAAATTGATGAACAGATGGGTAAGCTGTTGCATTATTCTTTTTTTCAGTTGCTTCTTACTTTTGTTAGTCTATCGAGCTTATGATTAGTAATCTGATGGTATGTGAAAGGGAGACGTAAGCAGGTGCTAGATGAGGAGTTGGTGATCAGTCATTGAGAAATATCGCTGCCCGTGATTTTGTGCACATTTAATCTTTTTCTTTGAGCATGAATAATGTAAGTGTTCCACAGAACAGCTAAGTTGTCACTTCTCTCAGTGTCGGTGCTCAAAATGCTCTCAACAGCGAAATAGCAGATGGAAGAGCTTACCAATAACGTCATCTGAACGCTATTGGTGAGCTCTTCCAGCTCGAAAGCCAATGAATTGCCGAAATGACACGAAAGACAAGTCAGTGGAAGCTCCGAAGAACACCTACTCGAATTTTCGGCACTGTTTACCCCTTACTGCTCCAGGTTTTGGTTCGGACTTCTGTTTATCCGGAAATGCTACGAGTGCTTCGCCCTCCGAATACGAATGTCATGTCCGCTTAGACCGAAACCGCCTGGTTCCCGCACCATAGATGCCCGCGCCAAAATACTCTAAGTCAAGAAATTCGTTGGAAACTTTTCTGCAGGAGCAGTTTGACCCCCGAACACAAATGTCACTGTCGTTCCGCCCGAAACCATCTGACGCATGCGCCACGAGTGGCGACACCATGTGGATGCTTCGGCTCCGGAGCGTGTAGCTCAGGCTCCGTCCGTTACGTGCCAAGCGGTGTAGGGCACGTAACGGACGGAGCCTGAGCTACACGCTCCGGAGCCGAAGCATCCACATGGTGTCGCCACTCGTGGCGCATGCGTCAGATGGTTTCGGGCGGAACGACAGTGACATTTGTGTTCGGGGGTCAAACTGCTCCTGCAGAAAAGTTTCCAACGAATTTCGTTGACTTAGAGTATTTTGGCGCGGGCACCTATGGTGCGGTCAACCAGGCGGTTTCCGGTCTAAGCGGACATG